AAATGTACCTTCCCTTGAAAAATTTTAAGGACAAAATCTCCAGGAGTATGTCTTTTCTTTAGTTTTTTTTTTTTTTTTTTTTTTTTTCTCTTTTCCAAATTTTCTAACGCTGTGGTGCTTTGTGGAGCACTCATACTAAGACGGGGAAGCGAGGCTGGACCAGGGAGTGCTGGTCAAGCCCCACTGGCAGCATTATTCAGCTGCACCCACTCTCAAACTGAAGTCTCTGTTCTGGGCTGAAAACACTACAGTCATTTTTGAACAAATTTCAACCTCATTAATGTTTTTGGTGTGTTAAATTAGATCTTTGTACAGTGGGGAATTGCCTATTTGTAATCTTTCTGGAACAAAAGCAGTGTTTTCATGTCGCATGGTTTTGGATCATGTTCTAGGTGCATCTTTTCCTTGTGTCCCTGCCTGCTTTATACTGTCCTGACTTCTCAAAATAGATTATATGTGATAAAATTCAGAAAAAGCTGCAATTTACATTGGTTTAAAGGTCTCCATTACATTTTTGATGTTTAAAAGGGTAGTTACGGTAACTGCTTGTTTCTGAAATAGATAATTGCTGATTAAAGTGTTATGATTAGGGAATGTTGTAATAACTCGATAAGAATATTTGCTTATCAGCTTCTCTTATTTGAAGATCAGCAATAAGCAAAATCAGCGTGAAGTATTTGCCACGTCGTGACTGAAGGTATGTGAAGAAAAGCTACAGGGAGATCAACTCCGCAGCGTATCTTCCCCGTTTGTTAGCAGCCTACCATCACACTGCTTTGGGAGGATCTTTGTTACGCGTTCTGAAGAACAGATAACGTTGTCACAAGTACATAATTGTGTCACCTAAAACTTCATACCAGCTGTAAAGTAGATGGCTCAGCTTCCCCCTGGGTTCCGCTTCATCACTTCATTTTCACGAGATCAGTGGTAAGTCTTGGTATGGTGCTCATCTTTGCTTGGGACAATGTGAGTTTGTGTCTGGGGGAGATGATAGTGTTGCCTTGTTCTATTTTTGCTTTTTCATTGCTTAATATATACAGCAACAAAATACAGTCAGTAGTACAAAAAAATAAATATTACTGACATTAGGGGAACCCAGACGCACCCTTATTAGTCAAGTGTTACAGAGAATAAAGCCTTTTCTTCACAAGGTGTATATGTGAAGTGTTAAATTTCAGCTTTTTATTTTCAAACTCTTTGGTGGGAGGAGTGCTCAAGGTTAGCTTTCTTTTCTTAACCAGAAGTGTATTTTCTCCCTCATAATTTGATGTGTAATATAGACTTGTAGATTTATGGTTTTAATTCTTGCTACTGCAATATTAAAACAAACAATACAAAACAAAACCCGAAAACCTTTTTCCTTTTGGAAAACTAATCCTGGAAGTCGGATGGCATCCTTGTGCTTTCTGAGATAGAATACTGAGTCAATTGTGTGTGACTAGGAAAAAAATAAATGAAAGACCAAACGCTTCCGTGTGAGCAATTTTATCCCATGCTTTCTCTAGTATAGCAGCAAGGACAAAGTCATTTCAGTTTTATCATTTTTGAGGATGCTTTCAGTTAATGGGGGTGAATAATTCCACCTACGGTTTAACTTGCTGGTTTTTTAATGTTTCTGTGAATATGTCAAAACTATAAACGAAGACCCTTGTTATTTAAAAGTTTGTATAGGCAGAAAATGATTGAAAAAGGTTAATTAAAAAATTGAGACAATAGTAGGCTGTGCGATATCAGACCTTTGTACGTATATAAGTCCTTTTATTTAGAGATGTTAATTTTAAGATCAAGGCTAGAAGGAGCCAGCAAATACACTCTGATCTCTCTGTGTTGTTAAAACCACAAATCTACAAAACACTCTTCTTAAACAACTGAAAGTTGCTACAGGTAGGGAATAGAATAGATCAGATTATCTTTGTTTAACCCTTGCAGTGACAGGGAGTTTGAGGTGCCCTTTTAACTAAGATGAACTGCAGAGAAAGACCCAAGGATTCCAGTGAGGTACAAATGAAAATTCCTTCCCAATCCCAAAGCTGCTTAATTATGTTCATTTACTCCAGCTGACAGTACACACAGTCAGTGTCAGTCTCTCAGTCCGCCTCCAGAAGTGGCTGATTTCCTTTGTTACAGAGGAAGGCAAAAATAAAGCAAAATTCTAAAAGCAGTAGGGAAAGAAAGAAGTAATAACCCACAGCAGCCAAACTGATAATGCAAAGAGCCATCACTTACATCCTCTTCATACCAGAAAACCGGATGAGACAGTAAAATGTGAAATCTGATTATCAGTATGTTTAATGTTGAACTGCCTTTTAATAGCCCCCAGGGGAAGGTTGTAAACAAGGCATATCAGCTCTGTGGACTCCAGAGCACTGCCACGTGATCCTGCTCGTACCTGTGTGCTGCCAGGCTCCTTCTCAAAGCCAGAGCAGAGCAGATGTTGTAAAGCAGCATAAATGCTCGGGTGGTTCTTCAGGCTGTTGGAGAATGGAGAAAAAAGCCATCTTCCACTATTGCAAGATCAACAATGACTTGTGTAATGTTTTTATGTAACTTAGTGCTAAAAGTCAATCTGAATAAAATAAATTTCAAATACTGTTTTTCTTTATATTGTAGGTACAGAGCCTTCATTTTCTCTCTCACTTTCTTGTTGTACACCAGCTTCCATTTATCAAGGAAACCTATTAGTATAGTTAAGGTAAGCAAGGTTGCATCCTTGGTTAAACATCCTTCTACTCCCGTCAAACACGGAAGTAGTTGTCTTTTTCAGTATTTCCTTTTGTGAAAGGCGGTGTTAAACTTTAACTTGGAATGGTTTATAAGATGAAAAACTGATAAAGCTAGTACACAGTGACGTTTACTTGATAAACTTCAGTGAGACCACACCTAGCATATTGCATATATGTCTAATCTTTGGGTTTAAGACCTGAAACAGCAATGCGTACTCTTAATTCACATGAATTAATCTAATTATAGATATTTAAGAGTTTACAGGTTTGCATTCGTATGTTTGAGAAAAGTTGCTCACATCTGATGAGTCAAAGACTGTTCCAAGTACTGTTAAGCATCATAGTCGTAGTTGTCCATACACTTGGGACTCTCTTCCCAGTGAAGCTGCTGGCAAAATATCTAACTCTAGTTCATTAGTTTATAATCTTTGACCTGTATAACTTGCTAAACACAAATCAAATCCCCCAGGGCTGTATTGTATATAACGGATGAGTAACAATGGGCTTGAAGTTAGTGAAGAATTTTGAAATTCTGCATTATCGGAAACATGTTTTCACTGTAATATATTGTTTCTAGCCACATAATTACTCTTTCATGTGATGATGGCCTCACCCGGCAAAATACCAAGTGGTTAATAACAGCTAACAATTTTACTGATTTCAGTGGGTTCGATAGGGGTTCAGATAGAGCTAGAATTCTTAAGTTTGTTGCTGTATGGGGATTAACAGTCACAAGTGTGTTTTCCATTTTCAAATTTCCATTCTGTATCAGGGAGAGCTGCATAAGCATTGTGCTGCTTCACATGAAGTTGAACTCAACTCCTACAAAGAATATGCTGCCCAGATTCAGCCTGTCAAAAAAACATCTAATGTATCTCAGTGCGGTTGGGCACCATTTGGTAAGGGCTGTTTTCTTGGGTTTGTTTTTTTCCTACATAATAATGAGCTGATATTCATAATTAGTTTATTTGCCTCTCTTCCTATTTCTTCTTCATGTGTGAAAGGATTCAGGAGATGTGTACGGGAAGGGTGTTTTGTTTTTCATGTTCTCGTTGATTTTTTCCAAAGAAAGTTAAGTTGTGACTTACCTTATGATATCTTTTCTACTTAAAGTCACTTAAACAACTGACATTATATTACCTGTTTATAACTATGAGATGGTTTCAGTAGATCAGTTTTCAGTCAGAAAACGGGGTTTGTCTTTAGAATGTCTACTAAGGAAAAGAAGGGTGAAGAATAAAATAAATCATTATAATTTTCTCCTGGTTTAATTCAAGGTCCCGTAATCATTTAAGTGAAATTACTCAGTGTTTATCTAAATTGGAATTTTTCACAGTCCTTATCTGCCAGAAAGAATATTTTTCTTACCATTTCAGTGTAGAAACATGAAGGACTTGATTGCAGAATACAGTTTACAACTTGCTGAATAGCTTATGAACCTAGCCTTTCACTTTAGTATTTGCCTACTTACAATTAACTTGAATTTAATTGTATTTGAATTTAATAGAGATCTTGAATGATTCCTTAACATTTTTATCACTACCAAGAACGTCAGAGAAGTAGAATAGTCCATTCTGTCAATGTGCCAGTCCACTCCAGTCTATCTAGCCATCTGTTCTAATTTTTCTTTAAGTAGCAATTAAAAGAAAGTCCTACTCTGTTCAAAGATAATTAAAAATCTGAGCTCTGGATTTTCTGTGGACAGAATTCTGTGTGTTAACTGCCTGGTGGAAGATAAATCAGTCTATTGAAATTAGTCCCACGGGTTTCCAAATGTATTGGGATACAGTTAAACTTGCTTGTTGTGTCTTGTCCCTGGACAAGGGGAGGCTGAGGTTCCTTGTCTGAAATACTAGTTAGCTTTCTTAATGGAGGCTTTCGAGCTCCAATGTCCTCCTTTTTCCATGAACACACAGGTTATTGCAAAGCTACCCCTTTGGGATGGCACTCCAGGCTTGTTCTTCAGCTCTGTTTTTCAGGCAGCGTAGCTGGCAAACTGGGAGTAGCACTGAAAGAAGGAATGCTTGAATAACTGTGACTTTATTCCCAAAGTCAATGGGAATTGTGGTGCCTTGCAAATACACAAACTGTGTGTCTCGGTGTGAGCTCAGGTCTCTTGAGACTAGACTTGGTGTTTCTGTCTGGGTGGAGTCCCTCCTGCTCCCTCCATCCTGCTGACACCTCCCATTTAGTTGGGATTCTGCTCATTTGCTGTACAGAGCTGAACCCTGTGTTGTTTTTTTTGTAAACAGGACATCTGTCTCTCTACCTTTATGAGTGGTTGGAAAATGAAATGCAAAAGGCTTTAACCATTTAAAAATATATATATGTAAAGCCCATTCCTTAAAAGCCTGTATGATGATGGGTTATTTTACCCATTTTGGCTGTTAAAAGCTCACTCATTTGCAACACATCTTTCCACTTTATTAAAAGTCTGTAAAAGTTTGTTTTTTCTTTTTGTTTAAGGACCTGTAAGAAAAGGGCACCTTGTTAATAGCTAGTGTTTCTTCTCTTCCAAAATGCTTTTTGAATAAGGTGGAATTAAGAATGGGCCCACCAGTATTTTCCTAATATGCTACAGACAAAACAATCAGTTGTAGAGATGTGTTGGTGTTGTTTTCTTTTGTTAAATAAAATGCATTTTGCAAAATGGATAATTAAGTCTAAAAGTGCCCTTTGAAAATTAAAAGTCAGTGCACGTCCACTGCCATTTCTCTTGTAATTTGTAAAATTACAGTGGTTGGGAAGTTACTGGTACATTTAAACTGATAATTTGTTTTGATAATTATTTTTAGATAAGAACAACTACAAACAGTTACTGGGAGCATTGGATTACTCATTTCTGTGTGCGTATGCAATTGGGATGTATTTAAGGTAAATATCACTCTCTTGGAAACCTGCTTCATCTTTTGCTGTTATTAACAGTGTGAGGCTGTACTAATTCTGAGGTATTGTCCTTTCCTGCTGTAAAGTTTCTGCAGAAGAGAGCGAGATCTTGGATGTACCCCACCTCTTTGCTAGTTGCTGTGGAAGAAAATGCCTCATCCCAAGTCCCCAGTGGTGTCATAGCTGTTGGTACACAGGAAGCTTCCCTGGCCTTCCCTGCCCTCACTGCCTTCTGCAGGAACACCTTCCAGCTCGCAGGCTTGTTCCTTCATAGGCAAGATGAAGGAATAGATGCTGGAATATATATCCTCAAACCTTATCTGTCTCCAGCTTGCACATGTAGACTAAGCTGATTGTCCTGGCTCTCTCTGTACTTGAAGGACAGAAGCAGGCACCTCCTAAAAATGATACTGAACACATTTTAAAATGGGCAGTGTTAGCTGCGGTTTGGAGATGCATCTTTTTATTGACTGAAAGCAGAACCTTCGCAACTAGAACCATCAGCAAGGGAGACAAGTCTCACTTTAAGTGGCTGTAGACATGTCTCACCTTACAGGTCATTTGGAAGGTGATGATATAAGTAAATCACTTCTGATGTGCTTCAAGGGGAGCATCTCCCCAGAAGGTGGTTGTGCGGATGTCAGCGTTTGGCAATTAGGGGACATGAAATCTTTGTTGCTTTTTCCTGTCAAGTGCTAAAAATTGCTCATGTGCTGCTGTGAAGAAAAACAGCAGTTGCCAGTAAAGTTTCTCCTCAACCAGAATCAAACAACACAAAATTTTTTTCTATTTGTGAAGGCTTGGGGAATGATCTGATTTTTAATTATCACCTTTCTTTTTATTTCCTTCCATTTTCCAAGTGGAATAATAGGAGAACGGCTGCCTATCCGGTACTATCTGACTGTTGGGATGCTTGCTAGCGGACTCTTCACTGCAATGTTTGGATTTGGTTATTTCTATAACATACATAATCTGTGGTTTTACATAATGGCCCAGGTAGGCACGATGTTACTTGGATACTCTGAGTTTCCATAGTGCTGTTTAGTGTTGCGCTGGATTTTTTTTTTTCAGTTGCAAACAGTGATTAGTGGTTGGATGGGAGGATGTAAATGCTGGCACATGTTGTCATTGATGACAGGCAGAAATGATGGAGTGGATAGCCCCAGGTTTTATTTTTGAAAAATGTTTTGGTATTTTGTTGTTTTTTTTTTAGTGGAAGAAATCTTTGAAAACAAATTAAAGCGTTTCAGTCTGTGTCAAATCAGTGATCAAATCTTTGCAAGCTTAAATGTGGGCGAGTTTTAAAACAAACGTATTTACTTTTGTCAGCCTGCCAAGCCCTGAGTGACGCATCCTGGCTTTCTCGGCAGGAAAATTACACTTACGCTGCTAATGATGAACGGTCTCCCACGTTGGTGTGGCTGAGAACAGGCAGCTTCTGTAACAAGATTCATTGTGTGGGATTTTTCAGAGCACTTGTAGATCTAATCAGGCATCACAAGAATGTTTACCATTGACCTGACATGGAATTTAGGCCAGGACCAGGATATGGTTAGCACTTCTGAGTCATTTTTGGACACGTCTGCTGCTGTCTTTGTGTTATTGCAGTAGCACTTTCACCGCTGGCACCTTTGCATGGCATCGTGCGACACGGCATGCAGCGATACTAACTTTGGGTACTGCAAGCTCTTATAACCATTTCATCAAGTCATCCCTTTAACCGTGTCACTGCCCTAGCCCTCTTGGCTTACGTGGTTTCCAAGACAGGAGGTGTCTCCTTTAGGGTTAAGCTGACTGTCTCTACCAGTGCCGCACTTCCCAGTGTGGCCAGTGAATCCTGCAATACCAAGGAGAGTCTTGCACCGTCAGCCCAATTGGGTTTCGTTGGGTAGAGTGAGGTTGTTTCGTTGCATGTTCAAATGCTCATTGTACGTGTGAGTTATTCTACTGTGATCTTTGTGTTAATGTGTCATTCTAGATAGGGAGGTTTTTAGGAGGTGAGACAAGGTAGGGTTATGATCTGTGCAACATGGAGGCTGAAATAGTTCTTACTTCAGCCTGAATGTAGTAGGTTAAGTTTCTTCTCTCAGTTTATTTACAAGTGTCTGTTAAGCATTTTAAAGTTAACGTTCAAAGTTATCCAGTCTCCCCTCAAGTTTTCTTTTCTTCTTTTCCACTTATATTGCAAACACACTTTGCTTTATGTTCAATTTGAGATAAGTAGCAGTATTTTGCTGTTTGAGTGTGGGGAATTGGTTTCACTGTTCAGTTCAGTGCAATGTGACTTTTGGTAAGCTTGTGATTGAATTAGAATTCTTTTGTGGTTTAAATCATAAAATAATTGGAGACATGTAGGTAGAGGGAAGAATCTCTGGAAAGCATTGTAACTTGTTTATTGTAGGAAAAGAATGCTTTCAAAACCCCCCACTAAATTGCTAAATTCAAAGCATTTGTCTAGGCTTCCTTTTCCCAATGCAGCACTCGGCAGGAATTGTGTAGGAACCTGACTTATTATAGGGTATGTTTATTTATTATTATTTTTATATACTTTCAGATAGCTAATGGGTTGGTGCAAACTACTGGCTGGCCGAGTGTCGTTACATGTATTGGCAACTGGTTTGGAAAAGGAAGGTAAATAATACATAACCCAAAGTTTCGGAAATACAAATCAGTACATTCTGGGCTGTCATATTATAGTCAATTTAAATATCTTTCCTTCATTTTGGGTGTTTTTGGGGGATGAAACAAGCAGTTGGGTAGATCCTCGACAGGAATTTTCTTTGTTACAGTGATTAGTTTGAAATAGATATCTGTTTGAAATATTCTCATGTCAAAACAGTGTTCTGTGGTAGCTTTTTAGTCTGATGTTTAATTTTTCAGATGAAATATTTCAGAAATGAATTAAGAATGGTTCCTGCAAATATTAACAGTCTAAGCCCACTTCTAATAAAGGCTGTTCTGACATTTTAACATGGAATTTCCCACGTTTTCATTTATGTTTCAAAACAGTTGTCAGGATGTAACTCTAAAAGTATCTTTTTTGTCTAATGGCTTTCTAACACACTTACAGAAACTTGAAAGTTCATTTTGAAAAAGAAAATACGTATGGCAACTGATTTAACCTTTCTTTTTGTCACTTTCTTTAAATCATCGTTTTGGTTTTTTTCCTTAATCCTGCATAGAGATCACTCATCATGTCTATTGTCATACCGTGCAGGAGTTTTCCATAAATTTTGCATGCTAAATCCATTGGCTTTGATGATGGTTGATACAGGCAGTAATTCTACTGTAGTGGCATCGATTGTAGATACATACCATTGACTGAACATTATTGTCAGTCAGTTCAAGAGAAGAACATACAGAAATAGAGTATATGCTTTCTATATAAAATCACAGGCCAATGAAGAAGATGTAGGTTCATGCTAGTTTTTTGTAGTCCCTGCAGCCTTTTTGGTGAACGTTACAAAGTGTAGAGAGCGATAACCCTCACTCATACAATACTGAATAAAACTGGTGAGTCTGTGCAAAACGAACATGTCTATTCAGATTTTGCTTTGTGCAAAAGCAACAGCCTTTGCTTTTAGGAGGCTGCATAGTGGACTGGTGGATAAGGCTCTGGTTTGAACGTCAGTGATCTGGTTCTTGTTTTCATTTTGGTACAAATTCCATGAAATGTGAGCAGACCTCTTAGATCTGGCCTTCGACCAAAGGAAAAGATTTGATTTAGTTCAAATTAGGTTTCTCCAGGTAAACTCCTGCTGAGAGTGAGGCAGTTTTCCCATGCCTTACGAGGGGAAAAAGCACCCACTAACTGTCATGACTTCAGTAGGATTTCTGTGGTTTACGTTAGCTCGGCTGGAGCCTATTCCACAGCAGCTCTAATCTGGATTTCCAGGCAGACAGCAGTTTGATGGGTCTGTTAGCCAAGCTCGCGCAGGTGTTATCTTCTGCTAGTGCCTAGCAAGTCCAGAATGTGATCAAAAATTACTGAATTTGCTCTACTTATCCAGTACAGATTGTTTTATTTTGCATGATAAGCCTGACGTATCCTGAAAGCATTAGATTATCGGTGCAGTGTGTTTCCAGGAGGACTTTAATTCCCAGAAGCATCAAACTTAGCATGCGTGTGCTACGTAACATCTGCATACTTGTTTTTATCAAAGAAACGCTACCCAGAAATACACAAGCCCTAGTGGTGCCTCTAAATGCCATTAAATGCAGGACGAGTTCTGTCATGCACAGAGGAGTATTTAGGACACTTCTATTAATATTTAGGTGCCTTGAAATTGCCCGATGAAAGACTGTAGCATAAAGAAGCGGTCAGTTAAAGAACAATAAGATTGCAAATATTTAACTGACACCACAGATGAGCAGTCATTTTTGATACACTTTTCTCAAGATAGTAATGCTTATTGTTGGAATAATAAGAAATGTTTGTGGTTTTTTTTTAAATGCAGGAGGGGTTTGATCATGGGAATCTGGAATTCGCACACTTCAGTGGGAAATATCTTGGGATCCTTAATTGCTGCTTATTGGGTGTCTACGTGTTGGGGTCTCTCCTTCGTGATGCCTGGTGTTATCATTGCTGTGATGGGAATTGTTTGTTTCCTGTTTCTTATTGAACGTAAGTGCTTTAATGGGATAAAACTGTGGAGGGCTCATTATAGTTGAAGAACACCAGCTGTTTGAGATAAATGACCCAGTGCAAAGTATATTCTTTGAGCTATGCTAAAACTTAAAGAACTTCTAGGAAGTTCTAGAACATTAGATGGAGAAGAACCTGTGTGCATCTAAAGTGTTTATATGCTCAGTATATGCTGAGCTGGTATACCTGAGAGAGTAAGACTTCAGAATTCAGTCCACTGCCCTGTCACTACTTCCATGTCTTTATGAACTGTTCGAGTGTACCTTAGCAGAACGTGCCACCTGGCTGCAATGTATATCCTGTTCTACCATTCAATCCATGCCATCCATATCCTGTGCTGTGAAACACAGAAATCAGCTGGTAGAGCAAGTTTTATCACTTTTAGTTAGAAATTAAAAAGAAATGCCCCGTCTTATGCCTACGTAGACTCAGAGATATTAGTATGAATACTTATTTTCCTGTAACTGTCCTATCTCAGGAAGTAAAAAGTTCTGCAGATATAATTGGAATGCTGTAATGAGCTGGACTGTCAGAATAGCAGTTAATGTGGTTGTAGGACAGGAATGGTACCATGGAGCACCCTTTTCTTTTTCCCTCAAGCTACAGCTACACGTTTTTACTGGACCTACTTCTTGTGTTATCCATACTTTTGTTTATTGTCCGTAAATTACACTACTGGTGTTTTAAGAGCTATTCATTGTGATTGTTTTCATTAGTAACTACGTGTGGTATTTTATTTCAGATCCTAAAGATGTAAGTTGCTCCTGCACACCATCCAGTGTAAGTGAAATGCTTTTTCTATTTTGATTTTTGCCTCCTAATACACATGTTTATTATGATAGTTCTGGAAATCGGATAAACTGCATGCCTTTTTTGTGCCAAGCTGTTATGACTGACCCTATACTTGAGGGAATGATTTGGCTTCTGGGGTTCACTGGTAAACCAGTAGCTTACTTTCTGTCAAAGCAATGTGAATCAAGAGGCCAATGTGTTTGTTTTAACTTAAGTTTTGGAATGGATGATCCTACTACGGTAAAGAAAGAAAAAACTGCTCATCTATTTTTATTTATTTTTTTTTTTGAGGTCTCTTGCTTTTCTGCAGTTTTCCCAGCCATCTTCAGAGCATTTTAACCTGTTCTGCTGCTCTTGCCTTCTTTTCTTAGGTATGGCATAGTGAGATAGTTGCCAGCCGTATCCCGTGAAGGGTCTTGCTGTGTGAAAACCCTGTATTAGGCATTGCAGCAAGTACAGAGCAAGCATCCTTTTTGCTGACATAGCATCAATGAGCCATGCATCTGTGGGCTTGGGGACGGAAGGTGGGATGTTCCCTTGGAGAGAGGGAAGGACAGTAGGAGCATGTCCCTTAGTAAAAGAGGAAGCAAGGAGTGGATATGAAGCTGAAGTGAAGAAGTTGGAGCAGTTAGTCAGTCTGTGACAGGGAGCGTAGTCATGATATAATATGACCTTTCTTTAACCAGAACTGGCATTAATGAAGAGATGTGAAAAGGAGAGAGAAATAATCTGTGCTTAGTGGTATGGGTCACATGACAAATCAATGCTTTAGTTTTTGTAGCATCACGGAATAATTTAGGTTGGAAGGGATCAGGCCTCTGGACATTGTATGGTCCTACATTCTGCTTATAGTAGGTCTAAATTTGACATAAGATCAAATTGCTGCTGTCATATTTTGAAATCCTCCAGAATGGAGATAGTGTTTATGTGTAGATGACTTTTTCTTTTTTTAACATACAGTGAGTTTTTAGACTGCATCAATCACAAGTTTTACTGGCATCGAGGCGGTGGATCTTGCTATTTACGAGAGCTTATACTTCAAGGGCTTAAATTTTGGCAGCTTCACGAAGCTGCAAATATACAATCACCCACACAAACTGTGGAATGGATACTGCCTGGATCACAAGGGAAAAGGCAACTCTCTTGACACAAAAGTTTGAAATTCCAGCATCAGAGATTGACCGCTCAAGGCACTGCTGAAGCAGGACTGAAAAGTGTGTGTGCAAATGGCTAAACTTTCTTTGGGTTGCTGAACACTGTGTGGATGCTTCCTTGCGCCATTGTGGCAACAAAACACATGACTTTTAATTGTTTCTAAAATGAAATCTTTTTCTTTAAGTATTAGTATAAGGTTGCTCAAAACACTATTTTAAAAGTAGGTTGGATGTGATTAAGCTCTGGTACCGAGACGTTTGCCCAGTGCTTTTAAACCAAAAGTTCATAAGACGTTTTACATACTCAAAATTAAGTAAGGTAGAAAGCCATGTCAATGGCAAAAAGATGTGCCTTAGAAAGCTTTAGCTACTACATGAGGAGGCAGTTCCTTCCTTTCTTGCTTGGTGTAGCTCTTGCCCAAGAGGAGGGAGGCAGTCTGAACAAAACAAGAGAAAAGTAGCAAGCAAGGAAAGCGAACAAGAAAGACAGCATTAGGAAGACCGGCTGTGTATAACTTCTTCTAATAGACTGTCATTTGTAGCCCAGTTTTGTTCAGGGGTGTGTTTGCAAGTTCATTTCTGTTTCATGTTCCTTAAGTGTGTTCCTTAAGTGTGTGTGTGTTAAGTGTTCCTTAAGTCCCAGTGCTTTTAAACCAAAAGTTCATAAGACGTTTTACATACTCAAAATTAAGTAAGGTAGAAAGCCATGTCAATGGCAAAAAGATGTGCCTTAGAAAGCTTTAGCTACTACATGAGGAGGCAGTTCCTTCCTTTCTTGCTTGGTGTAGCTCTTGCCCAAGAGGAGGGAGGCAGTCTGAACAAAACAAGAGAAAAGTAGCAAGCAAGGAAAGCGAACAAGAAAGACAGCATTAGGAAGACCGGCTGTGTATAACTTCTTATAATAGACTGTCATTTGTAGCCCAGTTTTGTTCAGGGGTGTGTTTGCAAGTTCATTTCTGTTTCATGTTCCTTAAGTGTGTTCCTTAAGTGTGTGTGTGTTAAGTGTTCCTTAAGTGTGTGTGTCTAACAAAAACCTAGAGCAGCGTGTTGCTCCGGGCTCTTTCTCCTGTGGCTCCCAGGAACCTGTGGGCAATCAGGTCTGCCACATTTTCACCCAGTTCTTTGGACATGACTTTTAATTGTTTCTAAAATGAAATCTTTTTCTTTAAGTATTAGTATAAGGTTGCTCAAAACACTATTTTAAAAGTAGGTTGGATGTGATTAAGCTCTGGTACCGAGACGTTTGCCCAGTGCTTTTAAACCAAAAGTTCATAAGATGTTTTACGTACTCAAAATTAAGTAATGTAGAAAGCCACGTCAATGGCAAAAAGATGTGCCTTAGAAAGCTTTAGCTACTACATGAGGAGGCAGTTCCTTCCTTTCTTGCTTGGTGTAGCTCTTGCCCAAGAGGAGGGAGGCAGTCTGAACAAAACAAGAGAAAAGTAGCAAGCAAGGAAAGGGAACAAGAAAGAGAGCATTAGGAAGACCGGCTGTGTATAACTTCTTATAATAGACTGTCATTTGTAGCCCAGTTTTGTTCAGGGGTGTGTTTGCAAGTTCATTTCTGTTTCATGTTCCTTAAGTGTGTTCCTTAAGTGTGTGTGTGTTAAGTGTTCCTTAAGTGTGTGTGTCTAACAAAAACCTAGAGCAGCGTGTTGCTCCAGGCTCTTTCTCCTGGAACCTGTGGGCAATCAGGTCTGCCACATTTTCACCTAGTTCTTTGGAAGAATAGTAGGGGGAGACTGGAAAAGAAGGCCTTAAGGTTTCCCATCTGTGAATTTTAAAAGTAGGTTGGATGTGATTAAGCTCTGGTACCGAGACGTTTGCCCAGTGCTTTTAAACCAAAAGTTCATAAGATGTTTTACGTACTCAAAATTAAGTAATGTAGAAAGCCACGTCAATGGCAAAAAGATGTGCCTTAGAAAGCTTTAGCTACTACGTGAGGAGGCAGTTCCTTCCTTTCTTGCTTGGTGTAGCTCTTGCCCAAGAGGAGGGAGGCAGTCTGAACAAAACAAGAGAAAAGTAGCAAGCAAGGAAAGGGAACAAGAAAGAGAGCATTAGGAAGACCGGCTGTGTATAACTTCTTATAATAGACTGTCATTTGTAGCCCAGTTTTGTTCAGGGGTGTGTTTGCAAGTTCATTTCTGTTTCATGTTCCTTAAGACTCTGGTGTGTGTCTAACAAAAACCTAGAGCAGCGTGTTGCTCCATGCTCTTTCTCCTGGAACCTGTGGGCAATCAGGTCTGCCACATTTTCACCTAGTTCTTTGGAAGAATAGTAGGGGGAGACTGGAAAAGAAGGTCTTAAGGTTTCCCATCTGTGAGGGCAAATCAAGGCTGTTAGGGAAGGCATTGGAGGGAACGTCCCAAGGGAATCCCACATTTTCCAGTGCTAGGGGATTGCACCCGGAGATTGTCTGCACACATAGGTATATGTGAACTAACTATACCTTTCAGTTGTGAGCCTCACAGGTAGGTTGTACAGGGATCATGGATTGTCATGGAATTGTCAGAGTTGGAAGGATCTCTAGAGATCATCTAGTCCAACTCCCCTGCTAAAGCAGGGGATGATTGCTGGTTTTTTACCACTCTCCCCAGTAGTTTCAGGTAGATGGCTTTTATGTTGTAGGTGGCTTCTAAATGCTTTTTAAATGCTCTCTTCTTGAGTAGTAACTGAAAGCAACTTTTCTAGCCTGTTATCTCCTCTTTACCAGTTAATGGGCTTTTTCTTCTCATGTGAAGTACTCTTGATAAAGCTTCTGAACACTTTTAATGGTCTGTGGAACTCCTATTCTTAGTTTGTTATTGTGAGGTAAGGTGTGCTCACAATGCATTCCATTTTTCATTTAATCCTTTTTCATTTCTTAAAAGTAACTTCTGTCAAGTATGAGAATATTTTAAGTGACTCTTGGAGACTTCTAACAGGAGGCATTTTTTTTCTGTAGCTTTTATGTAGTACAGAAATGCTCTCATGAATACTTCAACTGCTGTTTGTAATAGCTAGAGCGTAAGGTTTACAGAATTTGCTGTTAAGCTTTATGGAAGTAAATGTTTGTTATTTGTTTTAAATACACTTCCACTGGAAAGCATAACTAAAGACTTCTGCACAGTATGTGGCTTGTATGTCTCAAGGAGCTAATATGGAAAAATCTCACAAAAATTTAGTATTTTAGGGGCTTTCCCCCCATACCTTCCATTCACCACCCTTTCACCTGGTCCTGGAAGGGGGCTAGCATTTGACCTAATCTCTAGGACACCTGCAAGATCACTGCTCCAGGTGCAGTGTCATTGTGTAGGGATGCATTTGACCTCTGTTTCCCTGGAAACCTTGCTCTCCAGAGCAAAGGGCATCACTTCTGCCTTCCCTGTTCTGTATATTCACATCTGCAGATCTTGTAGGAGGTTTATAAAAGTGCTTCCCCACCTGCCTTGGACCCTTCTCAGCTTAAGATTTGCCATTGTCTCGGGAAGCTGTGTGTCACTTGAATTGCTCAAATACCTCTCTTCAGATCTGTGTGGTCTGCAAAGCACAATGGGCTCTAAATCCTTAGTGAATAGGGCTCAGACCTTCTGTTCGCTGTGGGCAGGATGGTTTTAGACATAAGGAAATTAGTAAGGCAAGAGCAGAAGTTTAAGGAGATCTACAAATGCAGATGCACCATGTCCGATTGTAAAGAGAACAATGATTGCTAACTGAAGGAAGGTTCATCTAATAAAACAGACTGTGTTATTAGTGGGAACAAAAAAAATTCAGCGGTGCTGTAAAAGGTGTAGTTTGCTGGTAGGCATAAAATGCTAGCTGTCCTTTTTTGCTCGGTTGTTTCAGTGACAACCTGAACAACTTGTGTGCTGTTGCAGGTAGTTAGAAATGTTTTTTCTAAGAAATTAAAGAAACATACTCACTTGCTTTCCTCATAAAGCTGCAGAGGATCACTTTGGACAGATGTCTTGGTTAGGTGCAGGCAGCTCTGCCACCTGCTGCCAAAAGCCAAACCTCATTGTGGAAAAATGAGGCTGGTTAAATTTAAGCACAACTGAAATAAAGGTTCAACGTGAGAGAAGGACTTAGGGTAGATTAATACTAAGATTTATAGATCAGATTCATCTCTGTGTGGTATTGCTATTTTGGAATAATTTGGTCTACTGTTTATTTGCAGCATGACTGTGAGCCAAATATTTCTACACAGTTTGTAGTGGTGAGTAATCAGATTTCACTGAGTTGTCCAGAAGCGCAGGCGGTGAGCCAGCCCCAGAGCCTCGGATGCATGGTTCTTGTTCTTCATTCACCAATTTCTTGGGCTCTGTTTCGTTTGCTTGTATTCATCTTGGCTCTGATTTATAAATCTGAAATTTGTTTCAAAACAAATATTTGAGTACAATAAAATGCTTTTAAGTGCTAGCGTTGGAGGCTTGATCTATGACTTTACAAAAGGCTATACGTGTGACAAATGCAAGTGAGAAGTCAGTGTGCTTTATTAAGCATTGGTATACTTTCATAATGAAAGTTAGAGTAGATTTACAGGATTTGTGAAATATGAGGATTTATAACTGATCTTATTGCTTCTCATCTTTTCTCCCTGTACCATTTATTTTTTTTCCCTAGGTAAACATGTTAGTTGCATCATGTTCATACAGAGCTGTCTTTATGTTCTAGGAACTTTCTTTAACCTGACTTTGCATTTCCAGGAAACTTAGTTCTCTTAAGCTCCTATGGCAAAGTGCTCCGGCGTTTCAAAGATACCACACTGCAATTTTTATCTTCTGAAAAGGAGGAAGAAGTCTAAGTATTAAGTGTGCAGCCTCTCAGTCTAGTCCTTTTCCCCAGACATTTCCTCCTTATGACAGTAAATCTTATTTTTGACAGTCAAATGAAAAAAGAATGCTGAATAAAGATGTAGATGACTTGTCTCTAGATAATGGATTTTCTTCCCCACAGATTATTGTAAATCGCTTTTTTGACGAGAGCCTAATTTTCTGTAAGATCAAATTTAAAAATCTGTTTTATCAGACTCTGTGGTTTTGGGTGTTGTTTATTTATTTTAGGAAATACGTGCCCAAGATATGCCTGAGGCCTGCATTGAGCAGCAGAAATACCTCAAATTTTTTTTTCCTTTTTAGAAGTATTTGATTGATGAATGGCAATTTGTCTAAAGAATACTGCAATACATATCCTTGCATTTTTGTTGGGAAGAATTGCCTAGTGATTCATTTTAATTAAAATGTTCAGTGTTTTTATTATTTGTGGTGGTGGGTTTTGGGTTTTTATTTGGGGCAGAGTTTGGGGGTTTTGTTTTATTTTGCTTTTTTTAACGTGGCATCCTGAATGTGATTAGACACTTAAACATCTCATCCCTGAGGAATGCATAGTGCCCTCTTATGGTCTTAGCAGTAGGTTGTCAGTACCCAACTGCAAACCTACACTGAAAATCTATTTGGTGGACAAATGTTAATGTCCTTGGCAAATCTTTTTAGAGCAAGGATCTCAGAATTCTGTTTTCCAATGAATACAGTTGTTGTGAACTGATACGCTAATGCGCTTGTTAAGTATAAAAAGCAAGCCCATCTGGGGCCCAAAATACAGCTTGTTGCCTTGATTTCTGTACTGAGCATGCTGGAGGTGCTCAGACTGTATTATCCCTCCTGCCCACAAAAGCACAGTCCATTTCTGGGTTAGAAGAATGGAGTGAGCATAAGCTAAAGAGAGAAACTTTTATTTTAAAGGGACAGGGAAATGAAGAATCAAGGTTTTCCTGAAACAAATCACTTCTCTGTTGCTACTAGAATCATTGTATTATAAGAAAAGATTAAGTTTGCAATGTCAGTGAAAGTTCAGTAGAGGAAAAAGCAGATAAAGATGTTAAGAATAGTGCGGCTGTGCTCTGAATTCAGTATGCTGCTTCTGTATAAAACCAGAATGAAGTTAGCCTTCAAATAAATTTGTGATTGCATTTTATGTACGTTGCCATAGGTCTGCAAAAGAACTTTAAAAACCCAAAATACCCAGTCATTAAATGAAAGATGCTTCATTTTGGGTTATGTTTATGTTACAATGCACAGAGGCTTTTGTTGCAGAGAAATTATTAGCTCTAATGCAGCCCTTTAAAAAGCAAGCAACAAATGTATGGGTTTTTTTGGTTTTTGTTCATGTTTTTTCAGAGTTCTAAAAACGCCTTGAATGGTGCGTGTCGATTCAGAGTCCAGATGCCAACCTTAAATGCTAAGGAAACCAGCAAACCTCAGGTAAAATCTAACATATTGTTGTAAAATAGTATAGAAGACGTCCTAAAGCTCACATGGAATAATCCCAGTAGATAAATTATTATTGGTAAAGATTGCTCTTCATTTTATTATACTGAAATCTGCTTCCATCTTAGTACAAAAATGTAACTTCATACAAGGGAACTAAGCGTTATCTAACATAAATACTGCAAACTAAGCTGAGTAAGATAACATGCTTACTCAGTTGGTCTTAACTTGTGGTCTTCATATAATTCCAGCAAAAGTACTGCACTGCAAAGTATTTGAAAGAGAGCCATTTGAAATCTTTAAAGTACGTTCACCCTGTTTGTCCCCTCCTTGCAGTTTCACTTCTGTCCCTTTGTAATGTAACAGAAGTACATAGTTACAATATTACAAGTGAAGACCGAGTTCTAAACATGAGAAATTAAAACTTGTGACCATAAGTGCTGGTAATTCTCACTGGAAACTGAATTCTGCATTTGCCTATTTGTCGGCAAAAAGACATTTTATCTTGTGATGGACATTAACTGAAAATTTCCGTTTGAAATTTTCTATTTGTATTCAGTATACTTGGTACATCATATCCTGAGAGGGTAACTTTTTTTTAACTGCTTTCAGACTTTTACAGGAAAACAGAGACTTCTTATTCTTTTCATCCTTTGCCCACAAAATAATAATCAGCATTCACAGGTTATAATAATCAGTGTTGATGAAAAGGTTTTGAAATTTTTGTTAAGGAAACCTTTTACTCAGAATTTCAATCAGTCTTAAACCCCCTCTGTATTAAGTTTATTCATGTTCATTTTGAGCTGCCCAAGAACAGTCTCCAGCCTGGAAACCATTTGTCAATATTATTTTACAACCAGCAGGGAGATAAGGGGAGAAGATCTAACAACATTGGTAGATGTCTTTTGACGAGTCATGAAGACAATTAAAATATAATCAGGAAATCAGTAGACAAAGATGTCTTTTCTAACTCTGTTAGTACCTCTGTTTAGCACCATTGCTGTCAGCCTGTACAGAGAGTCTGCATAGCAAGTGGGCACAAAAGACATATCCCCCCCTCCTCTCACACTGCTGCTCCCTTGGGAGCAGGACAGAGAGACAACACGGACAACAGAGCATGAGGGCACTTGCTGGCAATCCTGTTAATATTCCTTTTCTTTTTTGATTCTTGCCATCTGGGCCTTATCTTTATAATATGGAGCACTAACAAGTCTTTCATAAAAAAAATCTAAAATCCTTGTTTGTCACTGTTTGGGACCCCCTGATTTTCTCCCAGTGACAAAAGGTAATCTTATTCTTGTCAAAGTGGAGTTGAACATCTTTCCTTTCTACAGTGGTTGTGTTACAGTTATGCTGAGCTGATTATCAGAGTCAGCTTTTGTGCCTGCACAAACAACAGATGTTTTGGATTTATGAGCTGGTCTCCTCCAAGCTCACTGGAATGGCAGCTTTAACTGATTTTTCATTGACCTCTTCAATTACTGTAAAAAGAAAGCAAATATTCAGGATATGCAGTGATTGAAAGCAGAATGTGTTTTTGGCTGCGTGACCTGAATACCTCTGTGTGTTCATTACTGCTTATATGAGGTTGGACTCTTAAAAATTGCAGAAAATCGAAGGATAATGAATCCTTCCCTAGAGATCAAGAGTCTGCCATATGCCTAATCACACTCTATGACTTGCTGACAAGGCTGCACAATGTTATCTTTGCCAAGCACAAACTGCTTGCTTTATTTATCATTTGGCTATGTGCAGTATAAAAATCCCATATTGTAGATAAAAGTTTCCAGCATGAGTTGCTAAATAAGTTATTCTGAGTTTGGTCACTTCCACTTCAGTATTTAACCCTCTCTTCTGAAGTAGGCTTAGAGCTACCTGTCTGAGAAATGAGCAGCATTACCTCAGACAATCCTGATTAGGTTTGCTGTGCAAATTGTGCAAGAGATACTCACTTAAGAAACCGTCCAGACCTGTCTTCCATTGAATCCAGTGGGGAGCTTGACTGCATAAATATCCCTTTTTCCCCCTCCCCCCCTTTTTTCCTCCATGTTTTTTATTGTTAGTAGCTGATATGGTTTGAATTGCTACTGTTAAAACAGTTCAAGCTTTGAAGTTGCTTCAGTAATGCAGAGGATAAGTACTGATGATGATGCCGTGCCTCATGTGCCATAGCAAAGGCTTACAGTGCTGTGTTAGAGGTCTCTAGATGTTTCCCCTGTCTTCTAGTTCCTGCTTCACCAGAGTGCACAGTCTCCCATAAATGTTTCATCCCATCTACCAACTTTGTACAGATGTTATGGATGCTGTATGATAGCTTCTAAAATTATACTGAGTGCTGGGGCTCAGGTGCCCAGATGGATCCCCGAGTGTTTTCACCTAAATGGAGTTCTTTAAAAACAGAATTTACTTAGAATCACCGAGTGTTAAATAGCGGGATTGAATTTGAATTTGTCCAGCGCTTAATATATTTTTTTTTCCTTTCTTCCTCTGTCGTCTTGCCAAATATTAATCTGAAAGCCTTCATCTTTGTAATAACTATGGGAAATAGAATGATGTGCTGTTTGATCTTTACCAACCCATAACCAAATATATATTTGAGGCTCAATTCTTTATTAAGGCTTTATTCAAATGCACAAGAACTGGAAGAAAGAAACTGTGTGTAGAGTACGTCCATAGCTAGTAAGAGTGCAAGTCTAGGTAAGCTTCTCAGCGAGCAGGTGAAAGTGAGGATAGCTACTGGTAAACTCCAGGCTTTTATAATTTGTGGATTGCAATGCTCAAATGAAACAGACGTGAAAAGATAAGTGATTGCTTAGCATAAAGCACTCGGTATCCATAATTTGATTGGAAAGATGGCCTGTATTTCAATCGGTGAAAAAGATGATGTTACAGAGTCTGAAAAAATGGGCTTACTATTTGTACAGGAGGAAGATAGTAGCATGCTTTTGTATGGAAATGCGTTGTAGTACTCAGTACTCATTGTTCCTTTCTTTTTCATGTGATGTTGATGGGGGAAATTGCAGGATCCAGAGATGCAGCACTTACTTATTGACAGTGAAAACTGCAGTGTGTCACTGAACTCCAGCCCTGCGGCCACTGAGGAAGGTAGACACGGGACATCAGCTATCAGCTTCCTTGGGGCCTTGCGAATACCTGTGAGTACATGTGCTACTCTTGCCAGTTCCCCTAAGAGTAGGTTTGCCTCAGAATCCATATTACTGTGAAGTTCTAGATGGAGTGCTAGATGACATTAACTTTGCATCACAAGCTTTCAATGGCATGTCTGGTGTATATAGGCTAAAGGAAATCCTGGTACACAGGATAAGGTGTGCCACTCTCACAGCAGGAGTGAAGAATCAATACAAGAGTTCTCTTTTCCCCAGTAAGCAGATGGCATAAACTCATTGGTAGCATCTTAGAAACTACAAGCATCTAGGCTTCAGTGCTCATGTAAATGGCTTGCCTTTTTTTTTTTTTTTCCTCCTCATTGTGAGTAATACTAGAGCAGTGTATAATGTAATAGTTTACTGGTCTTACTTAATGACACATGGATATTAAGAATGGAATAGCAAGCTGAGTCAGTGAGCACTTCTCTGTGTCAGAACTTCCTTCCGTGGCTTCCCTTTTACACACTTGGAAATTGTTTTTAAAAGCTTTAATTTTAAAATGTTTTGTGTGGTTTATATGCAGAAGTTTGAAATGGCCCAAATATTTGGACTGCTTGTAAAAGCAAAGAAAGGAAGTTTCTTTTAGGTCAGGGACAGTCGGCCTTGATTGTCCTTTCAACTTGAGGTCTAGCAGCTTTAATGGGATGCACAAGTAGCATTATCTACAAATTGATTTGGGCCAGGTATAAAGGTAAGGAAGGAAATTCCCAGCACTATATTCCTGCATCCTCTCATTCTGTTCAGGTAAGCTTCTCAGCGAGCAGGTGAAAGTGAGGATAGCTACTGGTAAACTCCAGGCTTTTATAATTTGTGGATTGCAATGCTCAAATGAAACAGACGTGAAAAGATAAGTGATTGCTTAGCATAAAGCACTCGGTATCCATAATTTGATTGGAAAGATGGCCTGTATTTCAATCGGTGAAAAAGATGATGTTACAGAGTCTGAAAAAATGGGCTTACTATTTGTACAGGAGGAAGATAGTAGCATGCTTTTGTATGGAAATGCGTTGTAGTACTCAGTACTCATTGTTCCTTTCTTTTTCATGTGATGTTGATGGGGGAAATTGCAGGATCCAGAGATGCAGCACTTACTTATTGACAGTGAAAACTGCAGTGTGTCACTGAACTCCAGCCCTGCGGCCACTGAGGAAGGTAGACACGGGACATCAGCTATCAGCTTCCTTGGGGCCTTGCGAATACCTGTGAGTACATGTGCTACTCTTGCCAGTTCCCCTAAGAGTAGGTTTGCCTCAGAATCCATATTACTGTGAAGTTCTAGATGGAGTGCTAGATGACATTAACTTTGCATCACAAGCTTTCAATGGCATGTCTGGTGTATATAGGCTAAAGGAAATCCTGGTACACAGGATAAGGTGTGCCACTCTCACAGCAGGAGTGAAGAATCAATACAAGAGTTCTCTTTTCCCCAGTAAGCAGATGGCATAAACTCATTGGTAGCATCTTAGAAACTACAAGCATCTAGGCTTCAGTGCTCATGTAAATGGCTTGCCTTTTTTTTTTTTTTTCCTCCTCATTGTGAGTAATACTAGAGCAGTGTATAATGTAATAGTTTACTGGTCTTACTTAATGACACATGGATATTAAGAATGGAATAGCAAGCTGAGTCAGTGAGCACTTCTCTGTGTCAGAACTTCCTTCCGTGGCTTCCCTTTTACACACTTGGAAATTGTTTTTAAAAGCTTTAATTTTAAAATGTTTTGTGTGGTTTATATGCAGAAGTTTGAAATGGCCCAAATATTTGGACTGCTTGTAAAAGCAAAGAAAGGAAGTTTCTTTTAGGTCAGGGACAGTCGGCCTTGATTGTCCTTTCAACTTGAGGTCTAGCAGCTTTAATGGGATGCACAAGTAGCATTATCTACAAATTGATTTGGGCCAGGTATAAAGGTAAGGAAGGAAATTCCCAGCACTATATTCCTGCATCCTCTCATTCTGTTCAGTCTGATCCTCAGTCTCAACTGTTTTTCCTGTGGCAAAGTGGAAATAATGGGTAGAAAAATTTCTGCTGCTGACACTTGTGATCTTTGTAACTGCAATATTTTTCCTGCCTGTTGTTGGGAAGGGTCACAGCTGTATATGAAGTAGAGCCAGCTGTGTATGTGTGTTGTCTGTGCAGATAACTGCAGTACTCCATACCAGGGAGTTAAGAAATCCTGTCTCTAACAAAAAGGTATCAGATGGTGAGGGGAATGAAGGTAGGTTAATATGGCAGTTTAGTTGCAGCTCTCTGCAGTAAGCATACTTTTCATATACTCAGCAGGAAAGAGGATGGAGCAAATTAGTGTTTTAAATAGATGTATGCCCTGTCTGTAATGAACTTTTACCATGTATCAATTTGAACTGTGTCATACTGGTTAACTGGCTGTTTGTAAAGAGTTAAACAGTAAGGGAGAGATTGTAAACCCAACCAAAGGATTGATCTTAAGAACACAGAAATGTGCCCATTTCTCTGGAATACCTCCAAACCTGCTATAATGCCATATAAAAAACCTCTTTATATGAGGAAAATAAGTGATGCAGGTGTCTGAAACAGTATCAGATTGTTCCTGTTCATTTTAATGTTCTCTCTTCGGTCAATTTAGTACAATCACAAGAAGAGAAAACATGAGTAAAATACCAGTCTTCTCTGGTTGTCAGCTTTGTGCTGTCAGCAAAAGAATGCTTTGTGGGAATTCTTAAGAGAAAAAGAAAAGCCTAAGTGCTTCTTAGAAACCATTTTCATAATGGTCTTTGAAAGCAAATAGCAGCCTCTGTGAAGATACTAACTTCCGATTTCCTTTATTCTCTTAGGGAGTCATAGAGTTCTCCCTTTGTCTTCTGTTTGCGAAACTGGTGAGCTATACTTTCCTCTTCTGGCTTCCCCTCTATATCACAAATGTAGGTAAGTATCACAATAAGGGGATAGAGAATTTATGAGTACAAACTGTCTGGAAATAAGAGCTTGAAAGTAAATAAAAGAATAAACATTACTGCTTCTGAAATAGGGTACCTTTGCCATAGAAGCAGGAGAGTTTGAAGTCACTAACTGACATCTTTCTCAGTTTTATGGATTCTGTATTATGTGAGGGCATTTTCAAAGCAAACAAGGAAAAAGAATCTGGCTTATCTTCAACAATTCCAAGCATCAGTGCTGTGGCTTTGGCTCTTGCAAACCAGTCAAAAAAGTTTACTTTCTAATGGTGTTTTTAAATGATACTAGTGCCCTGTTAAAACATATGCCAAAAATCTAAACAGGCTTCTTTATCTGTTCAGTTCTGCTGGGGTTTTTTTGTGCTGTATAGTGTGAGGAAGGAGTTCTTAGCCAGATAAATTCATGTTCTTGTGAGTCATGATGTGACCTTTAAACCCCCGGTTAACAAAAATGTCCTGGACAAGTATGGTGGTAACAACCAGCAGGGAGAGATACATTGAACACCCTGTAAAACACCTAACGCTGCAAAACCTATAGCTAGATGCCGTTGTGTGTGGACTCTACATAACCAGTGCTCTTGCAGAACTGGGTACCTTGAAAGCAGTGGGCTTTTAATAGAAAGGCTAATGATATTTATCACAGTACTGCCATCTGTGCTGTGGCAGATGTTGGTGAGGTTATGGTAGTGCCACTGCCACCGCTGTTTTGGCACGTACTGCTCTTTCAAACGTATTTCAGAGGCTTAAAAAAAAATACCAAAGGATTTAGAAATTCAGCTGCTTTTGAAACTTCACACTGAACACAGTGGGACTTGGATGCCAAACTTCCTGATGTACTTTTGGAAGTATTACCCCATAGCATACCAGTGACTACATTAGATGAAATATAAGTATGTGTGAACAGTGGTCTGCACTGCCCACAGGGGAGTTGAGGATATCACTGTCTCTTCATAGTCCCCATAAAGTGCATGTTGCATGTTGTGCCAAGCAGGGTGGCCAGACGTAATTTGATGATGAGTATTATTGGTCATGTGATGGAGGTCTCAAGGATGAGGCTCTGTAAGTGATCCAAAGTTAGGCTAATCATGCTTTTAGAGCACAGAGGCTCACTTAGGAGCATTGGTTAACTGCTTATGATTCTGTGGCTATTCATAAATGGCAATATTGTTGTTCTGAACTTTAACAATCAACAGCTCTACTGTTTAGACTGTATCTGTAGTTAAAGTGGTAAAGTGTCCTGCCATGGGTGTAATTGCATTCAAAAGACTGTATCCTTGAATAGCCAGTTCTAATACATTCTTATTTGTCAAATACAAGAACACTTTATGGTAGCTTATTCCTTTGGACAAACAATGCTTCTGTAAGATACCTTTACCATAGCATGACAAGACTGTGTTAGGCATACTACATTTTATAGTCTGGAAATGAGATGAGTGCTTTACTTCTGTCACTAGAACATCTTGATGCCAAAAGAGCTGGGGACCTTTCTACACTGTTTGACGTGGGTGGAATCTTTGGTAAGTTCTGATGTTAATATTTCATCCTTAACCAGGATCTAGATTAGTTCATTTCCCCTGGTTGCAGTGCGACACAGACAGAGCACTCAAGAGCCAAGTTTCTTGTTGCATGTGAGGAGCTGAGACCAGTGAGTAGCTGGGCACAGCTGGATTCTAGGGTACCAGCAGTGGGGCCACGTGATACCTGGCAAAAAGGCTTCATGCATTCAAAAGCAGCAGAACAATGATTTCTAAATATTTCTTCCATCTCTGTTCCGCCCCCACCCCTGTCATCTTGGATGTTCAGTCAGAAGAAACAATGAGGAAGAGCAACTGTCTGCTCCTGTTATCTTCCAAGTCAAAAACCAATCGGCTTAATAAAGATATTGCTAAATGCAAATTATGTTGTCAGTCACATGCTTTGTGTTGCTGTGTGTAACTGTACGTTAAAAGTTATATTGTGTTGTTTTAATCTGGGTTGGGTTTCCTTAAGTATAACTGATGTCTTCTGTATAAAGCATGGACAGTGCTTTCTTCACGTACCTCCTTCTTCTTTCAGGTGGAATTTTGGCAGGCCTGATTTCAGACAGGCTGGAGAAGAGGGCATCAACCTGTGGCATGATGTTGTTGCTTGCAGCACCCACAGTAAGAGTTTGCCCCTCTCTCACAGCTGTGGCTGAGACTTTGACAGCATTCCTCGGGAAGTCTTGCAGACAGCATCTTCTAACTTGGATATAAAGAATTCAGACCAAGTTAAAAGCTGGCACAAAAAGTTGGGCATGAGAGGAAGTACAGACACCAGGGCTGTCTTTACTAAACAAGCAAACAGATCTAATGTATTGCTTGTTGTAGCATTATATAGAAAGTTTAACACTCTCTTGTAAAATTTGATGTTCAGTTCTTAGCCAGAACCTCAGCTGCTCAAAGGCTAAAAATTCTGTGATATAACTGTTGGAAAACTGGCAGTTAGACAGGAGAGATGCATTTTTCTTTGATGCTTTTGTGAACTGTGCTTTCTGTTAAGTGATTCTTTTGTGAACTGTGCTGTGTTAAAGCTGACAATTTGAGGGTTTAAAATTGAGTGGTCTCATAACACAGCCCTTTTTTCTAAAAGGACATATTGGGCAATATCCCTTATTTCCATCTTCTGTCCAATCAAAGAACCATCCTGCTGTGGTCTAAAACATTTTAGTAAAACCTGGAACTAGCTTTCACATAATACCCACTAAGATATTTTGTAGGTAACATGGGGAAAATAGAGAACCTAGGATTAGTCCATATGTTATGTTGGTATTGAGTTTGATTTTTTGTCTTTACAGTTGTACATGTTCTCTGCAGTCAGTAAAATGGGCCTTGAGGCTACTGTAGGTGAGTATTTTTAAATTATTTTCTGCTTGGCTTTCTGTTAACTTTTCAGTTATGATCTTTGGTGCTCTTTGCTTTTTTCTTTTTTCTTTTTTCTTTTTTTTTTTTGTTTTATCTTTTCCCTGAGAGGAGGAAGTCTGGAATCAAATTCCCTAGACTTTCCCTTGCAGGCTTTTTTACATAGAGGAGGAAGTCTGGAATCAAATTCCCTACACTTTGCCTTGCAGGCTTTTTACGTGGTAAGGAAAGGGGCTAGGAAATAAGTAAGGGGTGGCATGAGAACAGTGATTTACTTAACATCGTTAGTTGTCTTTCTGGAACTTGTTGTATCAGCACAGGCTTTACTATATTCCAAACACCCAATGTCAGAGGTGTTTAAAAGTTACTTGTAGTACTTTTGACGGCTACATTAACTTTACTTATATAGACTGGATTCATTTTCTAGTGAATTTCTAGCTGTTACCTCAAAGCAGAAGTTGAAGCACAAGATAGTGTCTCGCCTACTTAAAGGCCATGTTAAGTTTTAGGGCCCTCTGGTTCTTGGTGCTGTACGAGCAGAGAAGATGCTTATGAGTGGCTCCCTGTGAGTGTCCTCTGCTCTTGTAGACGCGATGTCAGAGGTGTTTAAAAGTTACTTGTAGTACTTTTGATGGCTACATTAACTTTACTTATATAGACTGGATTCATTTTCTAGTGAATTTCTAGCTGTTACCTCAAAGCAGAAGTTGAAGCACAAGATAGTGTCTCACCTACCTAAAGGCCTTGCTAAGTTTTAGGGCCCTCTGGTTGTTGGTGCTGTACAAGCAGAGAGGATGCTTATGAGTGGCTCCCTGTGAGTCTCCTCTGCTCTTGTAGACAGTTTGGTCAAACTTTCCCCTTCCTCTGGCCTACCAGCATCAGTAAAGGCCCTGGGAAGTGCCTTTTGACTCAGCTCTGTCTCCTGTTATATTTGAGAATTCACACCATGGAGTAAGCATTCCAGGGAGATAGAAATGTATGTTGCTTTTCCTCCTTTCCCAATTCTGTAATGGGGTGAGGGGATTCAAGGAAGGATTAAAGCATTTGAGAACCATGGCCTATGATGTCTCCTGTTATTACAGTTAACAGTCTTTCAGGTATCTCATATTTCCTGTTTTTGTCCAACTTGCAACAGTGATGCTGCTGATCAGTGGTGCCCTGGTGAATGGCCCTTACGCGCTGATCACCACTGCTGTCTCTGCCGACTTGGTGAGTTTGGCTTCTCCTCTGCTTCCAGTGTAGCAGCTTTAGCCTCCAGAGAGAGCCCTTTGACTTCTGCAGGGTTGTCAGTGAACAGGCTGCGTTGTCCCAAAGCAAAGGGATGAGGAGCTGGATAGGCACTGCTGAACTCGGCCATTGAGATTGTTTTAGAGATCGTGCGTTAGTACAAATGAGTGTCATGCTTGTGAGAGGCTTCTAGATTATTCTTGCCTACTCAAAAGACAATACAAATTTTGTAGGTGACAGCCCAAAATGAATGTGAAGGTTGCATGCAAGGCCAAGTCTCTGTACAGGTGCCTTCTCCCCTTTTGCACTTTGCATCTTTAAATCGGGGCTGAGGCGGTGGGGCTGTGTCTATTTGGGAGATGAGCTGGAGACTGAATTCCTGTCAGCGTGGAAAGCTCTACCTGACACATACCCTTAATTTTGTCCATGCTACCCTCTGCCCTTTCTTGTACTGTTGCTCTGGTTGCCAGCACTTACAGCTGGATCAGGTCAGTCAGACGTAAATGCTGTGTGAAAACATTGACCTTGGTGCCTTTCATTAGCTAGGCTTTGAAAGGTTGCTTTCAAAGGTGCTGGTTCCTTAAGGCAAAAGTCCTTAAGGTCCAGAGGCAAAAGTCCTCTAACAAAAAGCTCTCTAAATGTAGGAAAAAGAGAGGGATAGAAATCTCCAGACTTCCTCTGGAGCCCTGTCCTTGGCCTGGAGATCTTGGCAAGACAAAGGCAACCGCTATGCATTGCCTGTTTTAACCTTAGCTTTCTTGAAGGGGCTTCTAGCTAGAAAGTGGGGCCTGACATTGCAAGATCCCTACCTAGCGCTTGGGAAGAGAGTTGAAACTGCTAGCCAGTTCCTCAGATGTCAGCAGTCAAACATCTGACATGAGCAAATATAAATCAGACTGTATTCTCCTCAGTGTACTGGAGATAAAGGATTGTCTCCTCTTATTAGCAGTTCTCTGAACTATCCACTTTTTCTGGCTTTCTAAGTCACTCCCTTTATCAGTTGTTCTGTTCTGAAGACCTGGCTTCTAAAATTGGGGCTGAACGGCTTCTCTTGGCTCAAGAATTCTCTGAATTGGCATTTCAGTGTATATGCATAATTCTGGTACTTTAGTATTCCTGTTACAACAGTGATCTTCATTGTTCTTCCACAGAGCTTTGCTGTATTAGCAGGGGACAAGATGGCTGTGGAAACAGCAGGTTTCACTTGCAGCTCCAGTGCTGTCCTTGTTGCTTGCATCCACAGAGCAGAAGGCTTCTTAGTTCCTGTGGTTTAAATAACATGACTTAATAAAGGAGAATGCTGTAGGCAACAGGTTGATGGAGTAGAAGGCTTTCTTAAGTCGTGGTAAAAGGGTTTGAGCTAGGACATTTAAGGCAACTTCACTATATACATCTAATGTGGATGGGTGTGAACTAGATGCCACTGTAGGGACTTTTTCTCAGTTTGGTTTAGATGGTTCTAAGCAGCCTTTGTCACTTCAGGGTACCCATAAAAGCCTGAAAGGAAATGCAAGAGCCTTGTCCACAGTGACGGCGATCATCGATGGAACAGGATCTGTAGGTAAGCCAGAGCTGTAAGGTAACCTGCCTTAGTTGTGGTTGATTAAAACAAAGGATCTTTGAGAAACTAGGCTCTCTCCAGTTCACACTTTGCTAGGACTCAGTACAGCTTTGGGAATGGGGAGTAGAACAAACAGCCTTAAACCTCTCTAGTGGTCCCACACCTGAGGGAGGGAGGGAGGAAGGAAGGAAGGAAGAGGGTGGTAGACTGGGACTGGACACATACAGCAAAAATAGATGCCATTGGGCTTTTTCTGAGATCAGTGATATTTTATTCATGCCCTCCGCACTAGTATGCGGAAGGGAAAATTAAGTAGGATTAAGCTTAATACTGGGTGGGCATTTTGTTGAGCCAAAGGCAGATGTTTCTCAAACTTGTACTCTTCCAGCTTCTCCTGTGTTAAGTTTCCCGTTGGCTTGTGGCTGTACCAGTAATGTTTTGCACTTTCTGGGACCTTTTCATAAATAAACTTGGTGGAGAAATTGATGTTCTAACTCAGAATGACTATCAGCATAGTAAGTTTTACATTGCATCATTCTGACAATATCAATATTGTATTTTAGGTGCAGCTTTGGGGCCTCTCTTAGCTGGTCTTATTTCCCCATCTGGTTGGAACAACGTGTTTTACATGCTCATAGTGGCAGATGCATGTGCCTTGCTAGTAAGTTTCCATGTCTTTCCTTTGTGCTAAAGTATCTTAAAATGCAAATTTTCCTTTTGCAGTTTCAATACTCCATCATTACAAGAAACTTCCAATTGTGTAGGAAATTCTCAATTAAAGAGCAGATTTGCTCATTTTGAAATTCTCATCTAATTTTAATCAAAAGTGCAGATAAGTTCTGATGCGTTTCAATTCCTGAGCAAATGCACATCTGTTAATTGCTGGCTGAGCAGATTACAGCAGGCATTATTGTAAGTAAACCTTCAGATGTAGACCTAGAAGATGCCTCAGATTCTGCTCACGGAAGAATTACTTCTGTTTTCTTTAAAGCCAGTTTAGCAAAGCGGTAACAAATGGTTGTTTTTTTTACGCTGCTGTATTACAAAATCACCGTGATAACGAAGCTGTTGAAAGTTAATACATCACATTCTCCAGATGGGCCCTAAAACTGCTGTACTAGGTTAGATGAAGAATTGGCATCCTAACTTTTGACAGTAACCAGGAGCAGATGTTTAGGGGAAAGGAGTGCAACACACACGCGGTGGCTTGGTACAAAGCACATCCATTTTCCTTTTTTCTCCTGTTTGAGATCATGCCTAGGAAGATCTGAAAAGGGTTTTGGGGTGGTTTTTTCCACTTCTGAATTGCCCTGCTTTGCTTTTAAAGACCAAAGAAGACATGAGATGAGGCAAGGCAAGTCTTGCTGTACCTTTGAAGTCAGTCTTGCTGCACCCACCTGTAGGTTATGTTTTTGCGTTTGCCACAGATTTCCCTTGCAGGCATCTGTACCAGCCTTGTTCTCCAGCAGAGCAGAATGCTGCTATGACTACTTCAGAGGTGTCCTGAATGTCACCTGTTTATCCTCTCCTTTTGAAGTCCTGGGTAGGAGTGCTCATGTAAAGGGCAGGGTGACTGTGAAAGGCTTCAGAAAGGCTCCTTTCTCTGTACTGGCGGTGCTCAGACAAAACCCTGTGCCTGCACAGTGTTGCTCTGAGCTCTGTGCTCCTGCAGAGGAGCTAATGCTGAGTGTGTCAGGGTACTTCTTCCTGACAGAAGAAAAGCAGAAAGTCTTGCTTTGAGTTACAATTGAGACTTCTTTTTATAAATTGAACTTAAACCCAAAATATTAAAGTAAATTTTTCTACATTTAAGATCTGAAATCCCTGGAAATTAAGTAAATAAACTAAGTAAGGTAATAGTTGAAGCTTGTTCCCACTGGCAGTCAGCAGCTCTATGAATCCTTATTTGTGCTGTTTTAAGTATGATGTATTTCCTACTGCAGGGTATGGTTTGGGAGATTGTTGTAGTTTTCCCAAATAGACTTAAATCTCCTGTTTTTTTTTTCATTTATAGTTATTTATTAAAACCAAATGAAAAAATCCCATGTTTCTTTGCAGCATCAGTTAAACTGCCTTCCTAAAGTTCTGCTTTTGAGAGGGTTGACTCTGTGCTGTTGTGTTAAATTCTGGGTTTTGCAACTCTTGTTCTGCTTTTCCTGTTCTTTGCAGTACAGCTATATGCCTGTGTTTAACTGTTATTTCTTCAAAGATATCTGGAGAGGCTTTAGCCTCCTGTGTGGTGTTCAATTCTGTCATGCTTGGCCACTTACATACCTTTTGAAATGTTAGGCTTATCTGCTACAAACACCAATACTTATAATAGTGAAGAAACTTCAATTTATAAGAGTGAGAGTCTGAGGATAAGGAAACCTGTAACAGTGAGGAACCCTGGAGGTTCTAATTCTGTCTTTAATGTATGTGGGAATCACCTAATTTTATTTGTAAAGTCACTTTCTTGGGTACTATCCTAGTACACCTTTTATAGTGCATTTGAAATTCCTGATCCTGCACACATAAGTAAACGTGACTGACTTCATTCATCTTGACTAATTGTGCAATTAAAGCTTCTCACACACTCACAGCTTATTTTCGGAGTAGCACCTAAAACACTTTTGTGCTCCAAAACTTCTATCTGCCATGTCTTCTTGAAGTCTTGGGTTCCCTCTGCTGGTTTCTTTACACATCTACTGGTAAACTACCTTCAGAAAGCCATTCTGGTTTTTACAAATAGATCTCTCATTTGCAAAAGGAATTTATTTTCTTCTTACCTAGTCATTGTAAAAACTCCCCTTCCAAACACTGACTGAGAATCTGTAAATCTTTTCTTTTTTTTTTACTTTTTATTTTTTAACCGAATTCAGCACTATGGGGTGATATTTCAAATGAGGTGCTTTTTAAAGACCAGTTTACATCTTATCCTGAAAATGAGTTTATTTGTGTATCTGTATAGATATTAACACAGATTCTGTGACTGTTTTTACAGTTCTTACTCCGACTTATTCAGAAGGAACTTCGGTGTAGCGCACATCGTACCCTGTAAGTGTTACACATGGCTAGTGCTCTTAAATAACAGTTTAAAAACGTGGTGCCAGGCTTTTGCCCTGTTATACCTCGATGTAGACTGAACGTGTTAATATTTCTGGATGTCCATTTCTGTCTCTTTTAATTTGGCTTCAAAAGAGTAATCTTGTTTTGCTTTTCACATCATGAATACTATTTTTTTTTTTTTTTAGAATATCTTATTTTGAAAAGCATCTGCAAACAGGTTTCTCTGTCATGATCTCTTAGTTATTGTTTTTCCCAAGCATGTAATCTTTGTGGTTTTCCATTATAGAGCATCCACATGGGGATAAGAAGCTTGGTTTGTATTTGTTTAATAACTTCAAATACAACTTTTTCCAAAAGGCTCCCTTAAAGGAAAGGGTGACTCTGACTTCACAGTGGTTTGAATTGAGAAAAAATAATCCCCTGAATTAATGGAGTTACAGTTGCATAATCAAAACCTAAATTGGGCTCCTTGGCTGTAATTTTGGAGAAGTAAAATGGACAGAGAATAGAAAGATGGATAGCAAGGGATGGATCCTGCATTTTTGTGTTAGTGACTGTTGTGCCTCACACCTCAACTTCTCCTGCCTGATTGCTGTTCTTTCCCAGGTTTAAAGAACACTGAGCTAAGAGGCCGGATTTGGAATAAGGACTGCATAGCTGATCAGAGCTCTTCCCTGAAAAAAAAAACGTCATGGAATACATTATTCTATATTTAAGAGAATCTGTTTGGTGAAGAACTTTGCACATTTACTGGAAGCAATGTGAGAAACGCAACTGGTAAATCCCTGAAGCTCTTATTTTTGCACATGAATAAGTACCTCAGGATGGCAACTATTCATCAGATGAAGAGACAGGAACTGTGGGAAGGTTTTAGCAGCGCGCCTCAACTGAGCCAAAGAGAAATACCAAGTGCCTTTTTATTTCTTTTGATAGGATGTTTTTAATTAAAATGCCGAACTGTGTGTTTTCCAAAACCAAGTCAAAACTAGAGCAGAAGGAAGTTGAAATAATAAGAGACAGTCTAGCAGTGAAATGTCCCAGTGTCAGTGAGCACAGTACGTATCCCTTATGTCATCTTGCGCACATGGAGGGCATCGCTTTATAGAGGACAAAACCAGCTGTTTATTCAGATGCACTGCTATTAGTATTTGGAAGCTGCTCAAACAATAATAACCTCACCATATTATTAGTTTTTAACTACCGCACTACTTCTAATCCCAAGGACAACATCCAGCCTTTTGGTAGGTAATGAAATGGAATTTACTGTTGCGGTGTACTACAGTTAGCGGTTTTCACAGACTCTCTGGATGAATATTAGTCCTCAGTGAGGATGGTGCAAAGAAAAGTGTCCTAGGCAACAAAAAGTAGATTGAGTCAGAATTTCCAGTGGGGCGGCTCAAGTGATTTTTAGGGCATTAAAACTGGTCGGGCAAACGTCACGTTAGTGTTGTGCTGCTCCTCTAGGCTGGGTGGAAAGGAGAGGTTGTTCCTTTGGGGTTGGTAGAGAGCTGTGAGCTGTCGTACTTGAGCACTACAGGATTGAACTGATGAGCTGCTTTAGCACCCACTGCCACAGTCGTCTCTGTTGGATGCACCCTGGTTTCAGTGCTGGCGTGTGCATGTGGAAGTCATGGTCAGATCAGGGCCTTAATAACCAGAAGTCTTTCAAGTGGCTAATTCAACTGGCAGTGAATTTCAGATTCCGAGCCAAAATATGTTTATATCGGAGAAGAAAAATGATCTAGGTGGTAGGTTGTAAGAGAACATTTCAGTAACTATTGTTACCTAGCAAATAGACAGTTTAATGTCTTCAAAACATATCGTTTCTTTGTACAGCTGTCTCCTTTGCAAAACAGATGTTTCTGTGATACCTTTTTTTTCAAAGATGTACAAAGTAAAAAGGAAAATTTTTTGTATGAGGTGTTTATACTTAGATCATAAAGGCTAGATAATTTAAACTGTGTATTATTCTTAAATGTATTTATTAAAGCTCTAGGCATATGTCTTGTTCTGAACTGTTCTCCCAAGTTTTGTGAAACAATGCAGTAGTCTTTACACTTGATTAACAAAACAGCACTCTTTAAAATAGTCCTGCAAAACATGGAGAAATGTTCTCCATCCGCTGCTGGTGTTGTCCATGTGTTGGCACAACACTTCATTTCTGGGACTGTTTTGTAATTCTTCAGTCTTTGATCAGTTATTTTACTGATGTGATTCAGCACGTGCTTTATGCTTGACTTGAACAGCAGAAGAATGTGTTCATTTTTAACTGTTTTGCTGAACAGAAAAACAGGGAAGACCTCAGTCCCACAAAGACATAAGGAGAGTACCAAAGTCCTTGCAAGTGAATGCTCCATGTAGACCCTGGCCCTGCAGTTACCCAGATGAATGGTCACCTTCACGTATTTTGAGTAAACCTGTTGAGATCAGTGAGGATACTCAACATGTGCGTTTGTAAATCCGTGCTGTGTTCAGACTTTGGGCTGTAGTTAAATGTGACAGAATTCTGCAGCAGTGTTACTTGAAAGGACTTCCATCCTGGTGGCAGAACATGCCCCTCGCGCGGCCAGGCTGGCACTGGGGGACGGCTCACCAGACCCAGGGAACTGTCTAGCCTCTGGGGGGAAAAATAACATTACAACATTACAACAAAACAGCCCTACTGGTACAACTTCAATGGCTGTGTGAGGAGGGAGGGATGGAGGACTTCTTTAGCTGAAGATGTCAGTCCCTTCCCTGCAAAAAGGTATGTAGAGCTACATACTGGTTTATGGAAAAAAAATTAAACTCTGCTGCACGCACATTTTGAGAGGCCGTTCCCTGTGGGCTGAAGTCTTAGGTTAAAATGCTTTCAGCTGTATTTTACAGTTACAGGTTGTAAAGATGTTTAACTGTGTTCTGGATTTGACATGTTTTTCTTGTTGGGACTGCTGCTGTTATTTATTTATTTATTTGAATAGCTTTTGCACTGCAGGGACTCGAGTGTGGGATGAGGACAATGTTGGAAGTGCTGGGCCGAGTCCTTCCTTCCATCAGTTGCAGGAGGGAGGTAGGACTCGTAGTGTGTCGATGTCTCCTTCCTTGCTAATGTGCAGCATTTCTGTTCCTCCCAACTACGAATTTGTCAGACAAAAAGATAGAGGTTTGCTTTTCTTTCTGAACAACCCTCAAGATCTCCCAAGTTGCGAATAAACTGTGTGTTTTGTTAGTATTGGGTGTCAATATCTATTAATCTGGAAATTAGCAAGACTTGATAAAATTTTGTATGTAGAAATGTGAGTGGCCAGTAGGTAGAGCCAAATTTAAATATGACTGCAGGGTTGGTTTGTTGTTTTTAATGCTGGTTATTGTGAATTTTATTCGTTTACCATCCTGTGTTGAATAAAAATAGATTCTTCTTTAAAACGAGAAATGTTGATTACTTTATCTTTTTCATCTCTGTGAAGAAATGCTCCTTTTATTGGTTGGGAGGATAGACATCCCTGCTGGGAGAGTGCTCCTATCTCTTGTGGGGGCAATGAAAATGGTTCATTAGGAGAACAAATTAGAACCTTTATTTTTAAAACAGTGCCCTTCTCAACTTGAACATGTTTTTTTTTTTTCATTTTGGGGGATTGTGGGTTGTACAACATCAGTATTTCTAATCAGCTGCACCAAATGGGTGATTACACTCCTTATTTCAGTGTAGTAGAAAGGAGGACACTCACCTGAGTCAGGGACTGAGTCCAGCTCCAGCAACATAGTTTTAAGGTGACTTTTTTATCTACTCTGCTTGCCCTTCAATTTATATGGAATTAAAATTGGAAAGCTTCACCTTTTCTCTCTACCTGTCATCATCTTTGACATTTATATTTTTGATTCTGTTACCATGTTTGATGGGATTTGTGTGCCTCTAGCAGAGAGGCAATGTCCTTAATGACAGATATGCTGGGGAAAAACTGCTTGGAAAGGTAAACAATTTCTGGTTAGAAAAAGGTGTCTGAGGGTCTTGGGCAGAATTTCTCATCAAAATGTGCTCGAAGTGCCTCCCGGGAATAGGCAAGTAGTAGCTGGAGCATCTTGTAAAGAAGGGAGACTCAGATCCAAGTTTCTGTTTTACCTGATGCGGAGCAGGAACCTCCAGGGGAATATTTGCACGCTCCTGAGCGGCCCGGCTGTTGCTGGGCACGCTGCAGTGGAGGTTTGTCTCTGTTGTGTGTAGGGTTTATAGGGTGGGGAAAAGATGCTTAGGTGGCAAGGAAGGTGGTGGTGTATTCACAAGTCACTTGGAGACTTCTTATGCCTCTAGGTTGAACCACTAACGCGCTCCGTGCACTGATACATCTATTCCTATGTGTTTTGTCAGTTAGGAAATTCCAGAAGCAATTCTGCCATATGCTTCAGGAGGTTATTCCACGTGTTTCTGGCATAATATCCTTAGAATGACAACGGGAATCGTTCATGTGTGCTTGTGCCAATGTCACGCTGCCTCACATTTTGGCTGAATTCATCATGTTTACGTTTGGGAATCTGTTTGGTTGCTGCTGGTAGGTTTCTCCAGTGACTCATGTGTGGGGTTGTTTATATGAGATGTGCTGCTCAAAATTAGGGAGACGTAAGATGGCATAAATGAAATCAGAGGACGTTTAGAGCTGTTTGAGGCAACTGTTCTTCACATGGAATTAATATGAGGAAGATTGTTTACAATCCCATCAAATGCTGAGGCCCAGCATTGGTGACGGTAGTGTTCTCTGGCCTGAATGAAATTTTATTGCCTGCATGCTATATAGGAGGTTAAATTAGATTACTTTGTGATTTGTCCCAACCTCGGAGTTTATCTGATACGACGTTCTGATTGCTGAACTATGTCACTTTCACCTTACAGTAAGTCTGTTTTGATTTTTGTCCTGCTCTCAGCTAAACTAGCAACAGAATGGCATGGACTCTTCCACCAGCCTCAGCTCCCAGCCTGCTGTGCCTGTGGAGGGACCATAGACTGTTCACTGGGAGGTCTGTGTCTGCCTGCTCTGGGGCTTTGGTAACCTTGAACTGCATTTTCTGCCATGCCGAATTAAAAATCAGACCCTCATCCTTAAAGCTGAGGCAGGGGAAGGAGGGGCTGGTATGCTTCAGCCTCATGTCCAGTGACCCTAACGTTGTGTTGTTTGTCACGCTGCCTCAGAGTTTATTAAACTCAATTGCTATAAAACGTTGGTTTTTTCCCTTTTTTGTTTCCCTCCTTTTGGTTAGTTTCCAGTTTGGAACAAGGAGAGAATTAGTTAATGTCACTGGCTGATGCGTGGGGTTTATTTTAATTTTTTCCTCTGTATTTCTCTCTTGATCTAATACACTAGTTATCCTTTGCTGCAGAGAAATTTTCATAGCTCTTTAAATTGTGACCACAAGATCCAAACTTTCTTTAGGTGTATTTCAGGGAACCTGCTCGTCTCCCTGCTTCAGGAGATCAGCTGTCAAGAACATGTTGAAATTTTCTTTTGATGCTGAACTTAACTAGAGAATTCTAAGGATGTTTTCTTCACCTTGTGATGATACTGGGCATAGGGGTTCTCTCCCTCATTTTCTTATAAAAGCACTTGACAAATATTTAGCCACATTTTCACAACGCTCCCTCTGGTCCAGTTCTTTTTTTTTTTTTTCAGGCAGAGGAGGACACTAAACTGACTTCAGCTGTGCTGCTGTGTAAGTAGAACCATTGAAATGCTGTTAAAAGGCTGATGCACTGAGTAATGTGTCTCACTTGGATGGGATTGCAAAAACATTTCCTTCCTGGTGGTTGAGTACATTCTTCACACGGAGCTTTTCCAGCCATTCAGGAATGGAAGACATTTAAGCACTCTTTTCATGAATGATTTACACTGCAACTTGGCATTGTAGAGGACTGTCTTTCTGATTGGGAGTTGATAACGTGTATTCTGTGCCACACAATAAAGGTAAGTACACACCCACCCACAGAATCTCCTTGCTTGTGGCTGTTAAATAACTATCCAGATGTAAATAAATACAAATTAGTTTGGAGGTTGGTTTTTTTTGAGAGTGTGTATGTGTGTTTTTCATGTCTGTCTGCATGTTAGTGAGGTTTTAAAAGAAGAAAAAAAAAGGCAAAGGGAAGGGAAGTACCCATTAGCATAAGTCAGCAAGAAGGCTGCAGTCAAGAGCTTAAACAGATTTCATCTGAAAAAGAGCAAGGGCCTTTTTGTATGAAAAATTGACTACAGATAGAGAAAGGAAGTGCAAAGACAAAAAGGTGGTTCAATTTTTACTAAAAAGGGAGTACATCAAGTGCTGATACATAATTAAAATGTAGGGTGTAATTGGGATGCTATAGAAATGCAAATGTGGGATAGGGTAATGGTAAAAATGCAAAGACAGCGAAGCACAAAAGGCTGGGTTGGCTGGGAAACTACAGAGAAGCGTGAAAATCTGGGGTTGGAATTAAAAAAAAAAAAAAAAGAGGGGGGCTGATAAGAGCCACCTCTGTGTCTGGAGTGAGGGAGCTGCTGGCCCCTTCTGCCTCTGCTGGACACCAGGCTGGGCCTCAGGAGGGCCAGGGGGCTCTGAGGGATGTATCCAAGGGGAGAGGACTGCTGTGGCTGGATGTGGAGCTGCTCAGCTGCTGGGTCCTTGCTCCAGTAGGATAAACTGATGCTTTGGCCTGAACCACCTTCTGATTTTTCAGTTGCCTGAGGGTTCATTTGAAGTTTGGCGTTTTTGTGCCCACATCTGTTACTTTTCTTTCTTTTTTTTTCTTTCTTTTTCTCTCCAGGAACTAACTGGTGCCTGTGCTTGTACGAAACACCTGTGAGGGTTGGTCCTGTCTCAGCACTGTAGCAACCAAGGGTTTGTGCAGGTCCCTGTGGAGCTGCCAAAGGACTTGAATCCAGTAGTGGTCAGTTGCTGATGCCAAAAAGTGAAAAATCACATTCCTTTGCCCATGTGAAGGCAGGTTGGACACAGAGTTAGATGAGCAACTAGTGGAAAACCTGAGGGGGGCTGAAATTTTGGATATCCCTTTGAGGCAAGGTGCAGGCCTGTCCCTGTGGAGCCCAGTTTGAATTACTGCCATCATCTCCAGGTTACTGCAGTTCCTTGAATCCGGGCTTGGGGCTGGAGGGAGTGCTTCAAAAATAAACATCTTAAAACCTGATTTACTCTGATCTTTGCATTTATTTACTATTGTACTAATCGATTTTCCTGCTCTAATCACATTTCAGTGTGTTTCTAAAAATACAACAGAAAAAATGGAACTAAAACCTATTTCTCATGTTTTCTCACCCGTAGAGGTCACTTTCTTACATAAACCTGGCCCTGAGCTTGTAAAGGTTTCTCCCAGTATTGCAGGATGTGGATTTCATATTTGTTTGAAAATTAGCTTTTTGTGGCCTGCCCGTCTATGACTGTGTTATTTTTTCGTTTGTTTCACGTGAAGGTTCACGGAAGGCAAAACCTTGGTGAGGTGCTGTGGGACAGATGCACTGCGGCAGAGCGGGGTGAGGTGAGCTGTTCAACCTTTCCCAACCATGAGTGCTTTGGCAATTGTACGCCCGGGCTGCAGAGAAGTTGTAATCCCTTCCAGCCTTCACTCCTAGGAACCGATGGCCCTTTCTCTTGCGTAGCTCAGGAGAAGCATTTGGAGAATCCAAAAGCTTGTAAGTCCTTGCCATCTTGGGCACTGTATTTTTTTTTCAGTTTGTCTGATACCCAAATCCTTACTTAACAAGTGGCTTGAACTACTCGGGTTATTCAGAAACCAGCAGCAGCTCCTCTTACTGAGGTCAGAACTCAAAGCAGCAGCCTGAGTTCATATGCTAAATCAAGAGGGATACAGATGCATATGTGTGTGTGTGTACAAATATATATACACACATGTACATGAGTTGCATCATGAAATGGGAATAAGCTGAAACGGCTGGATTTTACTACCCAATGGGTGCAGGGAGACTGGCTCAAAAGACAAGCGACAAGATGTTTAGTAGCTCCTGAATTCTCCCCTTCTCATTTTTATGATACGAAGGGTGGTTGGTATAGGCAGCCCATCGTTGCTGAGTGACGTGCAGGCAAAACTTGTGGAAGGAGTGGGTTTCTTCTGACTCCTCTGCCAAACACAGCGATGTTATTTCTGCAGCAGAGGATGGAGCATTGTATGTGAGTCTGAGTCATCCTGTTTCGCCGCAGGCCATGTGAGACTTCAGCTTCATAAGTACAGCTGGGTCTGAATCTATTCTTAAATTGCTCTGATCATCTGGTAGGAAACAGCTGAAGACTGCATTGTTCTGTGACAGAATTTGTAGGTTCTGTTTCATACCGATAGGTGTAACCGCAAGATTCCATTTAGCCATCCCTGTTAGAAGTCTTTATAAAGCTTCCTCCCCCATTTTCCTTTGGTTGCAGCTTTCCAGCTACATGAAAGGAAGA